AAAGTTTAAGGACTTAATTACTAATTATTAAATTTATAAAACTAAATTGATAACTGAAATAAATATGAAGGATTAAAAGTTTCATTACCCTAAAAGTTATTGTACCTTCTAAGAAATTTTATTTGAAAAAATTCAATCTACCTATATATCCCAAATTATGTTTTAATAAACAAAGAGTATATTTTTTTCACAAAAAAGAGTATATTTTATTAATTAATAACAAGAACGATCTGAAATTCATAATTTTAATTTAAAAGAATGCATATAAGAAAACAAATTACTTAACTGAAAAAAAAAAAAGTTAATATTTTTATGATAAAAGATAAATAAAAAATTGAGTAAGATAAACAATCTAAAAAGTAGAAATTAAAACAAGTGTCTCCATTTTTGCCCAAAAGCCCAAAAGAATACCAAATGGATGAAATAAAAAAGGTTAAAAACCAAAAAAAAAAAAAACCTTAACAATGCAGACGCCCACACACAAATCACTCAAACTTGGTTAGTAGAGTTTTCAAGAAGTTGAAGGCTAAACTTACGTTCATATTCAAATACGCAGTGTTTAAAGGTTTGACATGTGTTTGTATTTTGCATTTGTTGCCTCCAAATGTATGTTCAGCAAAAGCAAAACTTTCCTGCGTCTCACAAATGTGATATGAACTGTATAAGAAACTTTTTTGCTGGTCTCTTGATTTGTTCTGCCTTAATTCTGACATATAATAGAAGTGTTTGGATATATATATATATATATATATATTATATTCACAAAACTATGATTTTAGTGTGTGTTTAATTTTTAGTTTATTAAAAAATTATTTATTAAAAATTCATTTAATAAAAATTAGTCCAATAAAAGTTAATTATTATAATGAAATTTATGTTTAGATATATTTTTTAAAAAAATTAATTTAGTAAATTAAAATTTATTTGTATTAATGATGATTTGTGCTTTTAAAGTATGCTTTTGAATATACAATGATTAAAAAGAACATTAATTTATGACTATTTGTAATTTTTGTTATATAAATATAATATATTAGAAACATTGAAAAAATGTGAAAAAAATTTAAAATAGCATAAAATTTAATATACTAAATAATGAGAATGAAAAATATAAAGTTTAATATGTTAGAAAAAAATTATATAATAAATAATTCAACATTCATTAATATTAAACATTAATATGACTAACAATTTGATTCATAATATACAATTTGATTTCTAATTAAATCGCAAACTCTATTTATCTCTCTATTAGAAATTACACTAGAAAAGGGGTGATGGAAATATATGCTCTTAATATTATCATAAAAGTTAATCATTTTTTCATCTTCAAAACACCTAAAATTAAAATTAGTTATAGATTTTCTTCAAAAATAAAGAACAGCATGGTTATTTATAAAATTAGGTACATATTTATTCTCTTCATTAAATACTTCAATTCTCATTTGCATTTCAAATCCATCCCAAAATTGCTTTTCAAAATCTACATTTAAAGCCTTTTTAAATCCATATTTTAAAAGTTATTTTGCCCAAATAAAAACTTTTCAAATAACATTTAACATTTGAAAAGCTAGGAAGTACTTTTCAAATGTCGAAATGCCATTTACCCAAACCAGCACTTTAGCCTCCAAAACTGATTACTGTGAAGTATCCAAACATGAACAATTGATAATGTATCTACCTCCTATTTTACCACAGTATTTTTAGCAGGAACAACCCATCTGGCCACCCAAAAAAAAAAAATATATTGAGATTTTTGTTCAAGTTTGCAAGGGAGGGAGTATATTGACGATCCACAATATTTGATTGGATGGTTTTGACGATATTATGTGTGAACTGTATAGGAAACTTTTTTGCTGGTCTCTTGATTTGTTCTGCCTTAAATATTTATGAGGCATATCTTTGAGTTTAGCAATATAGACAAAGGTGAAATGATAATTGCAGGATTTTGTAAATATGGAATTTGGATCTAGTGAAATAATTCAGGTTTAAAATAGGTGTTTTTACATGTGATGTACTTGTAATTTATATTTTACATATCTTAGTCTATCTCTCTTCTCAAATTATAGACTTAGGGTCCATCCACTGCAGCTGTTCAGGCCGTTAAAAAAATGTATATCTTTGATGTTCTATTCTTGTAATTATAGAATTGTTTATATCAATGTTTTAAGACTTGCACTATTAACTGGCTCAATTTGACTTGTTAGCTTGTTTGGAGATGGGCCCATTTTAAATCAAGCTGGGTTGACTAATTCAAAATTTGGAGCAACTGGGTCATTTCGGACCATTATGATTATCTCCTACTTTGCATTGAGCCAATTTTTTTATTTTAACTCTTAGTTCAATAATAAAAAATTTTATTCCGTTTAGAAAGATTAATGTTAACTTCCCTTTAGACTGTTATAGTAAAATTTAAATTTTGAATGTATAATTTATTAATTAGCATTATATTAATCAAACTATCGAGAAAATTGAAAACTCATAGCATTAAAAGGACAAATGAGGTAGACCACAAAAATATAGACAAATGATAAAAGTGAAAAGTTGAAACTTGATGTGCATTTGATTTTTTGTTTGTCAAAAATTTATTTAGCAAAGATCAATTGTTATAATGAAATTTATGTTTGAATATATTTTTTTAAAAGTTAATTTAATAAATTAAAAGCTGTTTGAATTAATAATAATTTGTGCTTTTGAATACGTCTCTAACATGCCTGTTTGAATATATATTATGAATGTTTAAAAAATGTAAAAAATAATATGAAGTTTGAAAAATTAGCACCTACAAATATCTCATAGAGAGACAAATGTACGTCAGCACCTAAAAAATAATATGAAGTTTAAAAAAACAGCACCTATAATCGGCACCAAGTTGAAAAAAAGAGGATAGCGATTGGAGATGGGTAAGTCACGTTAGAAGAATGAAAGGATTTGCATCATGTGGTTTGTGATGTTTTAGAGGGTATAATTGTAAAATAATGAGTTTTGACTCAATCATCAATGCCCATCTGTCACATTTGGGATGTTCACGTTGAGAGAAAATACATTTGAAGTTTTTTAGAATGGACTCTTGGAATAGACTTTTAAAGAGAAAATGAAAACAAAATAACTTCCCACATCTCAAAAGTAAAAAAGTACTTTTGAGAAGTGAAAAGTTGGTAATCCAAACAATACCTTAACATGTTAAGGCTGAATAACTTTAAACTTGATGACTTTTAATATTTTATTAAATTTATCGGTGTTTTTAATATAATTGAAAGTCATTTATTTAAATTTTATTAGCAAAAATATGATTAAGTAGATAAGTGTGTGTGAAAATGGGTTTGAAAATGTGTTAGAAATTAGTGGACCAATTTTAACATTAATTTTGGGTTTTATATATGTAGGGAGGCCCAATTTAGGGGCCCAAAAAAGAAAATTTTGAAGCTCAAGTCGAAAAAATTAAATTTTAAAAAAAATTTAAACAGGTCATGTTCGTTGTAGTAAAAATGTATTTTGCTATAGCGAAGTGCAATTGTAGTAAAACACATAGTTTTGATTGTTAGTGAACTTTTAAGGCTTGGGCATCTCATTTTCATGCATTTTTCACTTCCAGCAGCTACAGAACATCCAGGGAGAGGGGAAAAAGCCAAAGAAGGGTTGGAAAAGTTTAGATTTGGTGAAAAATTAAGGGTTTTGCTCAAGATTAATCCGATTAATCTATTTTTCTCCTTCTTCTCTTTACTTGTCATATATATTGTTGATTTTCCTGTCATGGAAGCCATGTGTGGCTAATTTTCTTTTAATCTAAGGTAACTATAAACTGATTCTTGAATTAGAGCATGTTTGAACCATTTATTTGAGCTTAATATTAGTTTTATTTATTTAATCTTGTGCTTATTTGTCTACTTAATACTTGGCCACCATTGAGTGTGAAGTTGGGGATTTAGGTTTTGCCTTGGAAAAGAAAGATCTGAACTTGACCATTAAATTGAGTAATATAGAATTAAAATTTATTATAATTTGTCAATAGGATAGGAATATACCTATTAGACTCATATAATCACATTAGAGTGAATTTGTGCCATTTTGCCTCTTCGATAATTATGTTAGAAATAGCAAATTAATTCAAGAGAGGGGAGCAATTAATCGAAAGATAATTCCTATTAATACTCTAGATTAGCAAATTAATATTAAGTGAATTTATTTGGGTAATTACATGCTCTATGAATTGAAGAAAGGATTAGCCACCCTAGGTTGCCTTGATTGTTTGTGATTGTTGAAATTTTAATTTTAATGCATTTTTTTAATTTCAATCCTTATTTTGCAAAAATCAAATCCATATGTTGCTTTGCTCAACTTAAATGAAAATGGAGACTTTGTTGCCTAATTACCAATTAACTTGATTTTTCGTGGGATCGACTTTGATTTGCCATTTACTAATTACGAACCATACACTTGTGGTAAAACATAATTGTGTGTATCAAAATTGAAAATGGCATTATCATTATTTTTAATGTTTTATTACTTACCATACACAATTACACACATAAATACTACACCCCCAATTTAAAAATATAAGGTTTTTTTATAAGGTGAAATGTTAAAAAATATTAAGCATTTTAGATCTTTCAAGATACATGTAATGAGGTTTTTCCAAACATACCCTCAATTGGGAAGTGTAGTTGATTTTTAATTGAGTCATCATATTAAATAAGAATAAATATGAAAAAAAGATGTATGATTTTATTGACAATCAATGGACTTATTGAAAGAGTAATTCAACTAAAATGACTTGCAATATTAAATTGAAGAAATATTTTTTATTTAATTATTATACCATCAATTCTATCTTCAATCTAATCAATTGAATTATAAAAATTGTGATGCTCTCACTTTTTCAATTTATCATCAATCTGATTTTTAGAACATCGATTTTTGTTCATTGATACTCCATGTGATTTTAAAGCTTTTGCTTGCACATTGCATCCTGTTTCTTTGCCCTATTCCTGAAACAAGGGTTTCAGTAAGATTAGCACAGGTGGGCGCATTAATTACAATAAGGCAGAGTGGGCCAAGCCCAATGCTTAATTACAATACAGTTAGAAAGATTCAGAAGATGATAGTCTGAAACAGAGAAGTAAAAAAGAAGACCTTAGACACTGCACCAATATCAGAAACTCTAGATAGCAGAAAAACCAATATGAACACAGACCCCAAACACTGATAAACCCATATGCTTCCATTTTGAACTCCGCTTGGCGATAACAATGACCTGCAAGTTGTGAGAGCTTTACAAATCTGTAAAAACACCGGGGAAAAAAAGAGTTCATGGTTTCAGCTATTTCGCCAGGACTATAGCCCACTACTCTCTATCATCTCAGACGTTGATTCCTTCTCTTCTGTGATGAAGTCTGAACTATCTTCAGCAACTGATGCCCCATCATTGTCATCTAAACCTGGATGGTTTCTGAACAATTCATTCTTTCCTAACTCAGATAGCTTATCCTTAGATTCTCCCTTAAGCAGCTCTACCACCTCAAGCATGGTAGGTCTCTTCTCAGGCTCCCTTTGAGCACATACAAGTGCAACAAGAATCATTCTTTTGAGTTCTTCCTCCACATACTTACCCTTTAGCTTTGGATCTGCAAGTTCACTATATCTCTTCTCAATAGCCAATGGTAGTGCCCAATCAGCTATCGATCGCTTCATTGAAGTACTCAGTTTTTCAATTGGTTTCTTGCCACTAGCAAGTTCTAGTAGGAGAATTCCAAAACTATAGACATCACAACTCTCTGACGCCTTGCCAAGCATCGCATATTCTGGTGCTAGGTAGCCAAGGGTTCCCTTCACTCTTGTTGTCACATGGGTTGCCCCATCAGGAATCAACTTAGCAAAACCAAAATCAGCAACCTGAGCCTGGAAATCTGCATCCAATAACACATTGCTTGATTTGATATCTCTGTGGATTATGTGTGGTGTTGCTTGGTGGTGAAGATATCTGAATGAAAACAAAATGTATAATTAATATACTGACTTGTACAGAAGATCAGTAATGAAGCACAAATACTTGAAAAGAATATCATACACAATGTAAAACTTCAACTTGTACTTTAAAATTATACTACTCCAGTTTCAAATGAAAGTCACAAAAGGTTGGTTAAAGTTAGTTTTGCGGTTCCGAGTAATTTTTTGTTCCCTTTTTGCCCTTGATGATTAATGTTTCTCTCACTTTGCTTATATTTGGCACCCTAGGACTTAAAAAAATAACTCATATTTAGAACTGAAGAAGCATATGTTATTTGTATTGCCCTGTATCAATGTCACAATCTGTGCTCTTTAGGTCAAGGAAGGCCACGTAGCCACTTACTCAATTCCCTCAGCTGACCCAATTGCGATATTCAAGCGCCTGTTCCAATTAAGAAGACAATCTGAAGAGTTCTGTCTATGAAGATGAGAGTGTAAGCTCAAATTTGGCATATAATCATACACGATTAATCTTTCTTTCCCTTCAGCACAATAGCCGCGTAGACTAAGAAGATTCTTGTGTCTTACTCTGGCCAGTATCTCAACTTCTGAAGCAAATTCCATATCTGCTTTGTTGCTCCAAACTTTTAATCTCTTCACTGCAATCTGAAGGTGTACATGGATTATATAAGGATATGAAGTGACAAGCAGCCACACCAAAGTGAACTCTGAAACTGGAGAGAAGTAACAAAACTATACTACTCTATCGTGTGTTAGCCATTTACGCATTCCAAATAGCTTCATTATCACAGGTGCCAGAGAAATGCCTTGATCAGAGCATTAGCAAATAGCAACTGAAACTTTAGATTTTATTTTGTTGGGACAGACACGACATTATGACCTTATCCAACATCACTACAGACCTATCCTCCAAGGAACAGAAATCTCACTTGAAATGAATGTCAAATTTCTATGTTTCACACATTTAATTTGGAATAATTTATCAAGATGAGCACTATAGTGTCCTAGACCTTCCCAATAGCAGTAAAGATTGTAGCAGAAGAAAATAACATTTATGGCAGAAAGCAATGAGATCACAGCAAGGATAATTAAATGGAGTACAACCATCAACTGAAGCTGATTTGATAGCATGCAACAAAGAATTAAAAGAGAAAGTATTAATCTCACTTGTGATCCATCCCAGAGCTGGCCCCAGTATACACTGCCAAATCCTCCTTCTCCAAGCTTGTTATCATAGTTAAAATTATTTGTTGCGGAGTGTAGTTCCTTCAAAGAAAAGACTCTCCATGTAGACACTTTCTTACCTCGTGCTTTTCTGCATAAAGGAGATTCAACTATCAAATCTCAATTGCTCATTCAAGAGAAACAAAACAGTAGCATTTAAATCTGAATCTTCACAATATATATGGTTTAAAACGTCTTTAGGTTTCAAAGTAAAGAAATACCACAAACAGTTCAGCAATCGAATGATTTAGGAATGCGTTTTAAATTATCTCTCTAGTTTACCTCCTTCAGATCAATTAGCTCATACCAGAAATCTGATAGAAACCCATAATTTAAAACCCCCTTTAGTTCTCATTTTCCACCAAAAACACAACAAACCAGGATGACAGAACAGAGCCTTGAAGCCATAATATAGAAATACCTAATCCAAAATCAACAATGATAAAGTAAAAGAAACAGAAGCATGAACAGTTATTTTAACTCACCGATTGGAACCTTTTGCACAGAAAAATAATGGGCAAAAAGCCATACCCATCCCACCTCCTGTTTCTCTTTCTCAGTTTCACTGTCTATATCTCTGACTTTCTCAATCAGTCCCAGCTAGGAAGCAAAGTACAAACTTCCAATTGACCCACAAAACAAAATATTAATCTTAATCTTCCTTCACTGTGAAAGATAACAAAGAGTCAAGGACGGTGTGCGAAACATGAGGATTCAAGAGAGACTAGACGCATGGTTTTGTGGGGTAAAAGTGGATGATGTTGCGGCGTTATGGCGACCGTTGCGTTCTGCGAAAAGCATGAAGAGAGTACTGAATATGCATTGCGTGGTTTTGGAGATGCATTGAAGAGATGTACAGGTCAAGTCGAATTAATCATTCCTTGATTTGTCAAGACAAAATACAGCTGCGAAATGCGGTTTCAACAATGGGGTCCATTTTTCTTTTTTGTTTCCGTTTCCAAGTTGAAGTTGACAAGTATAAAATTGAATACTCCATGAGCAGCTGCCCAGGGCTAAAGCTAAAGTAATTTGCGTCATAGTGAACCTAAAATGGCCAAGCTCTTGAGAAAAGATTCTTTTATGAAAAAAATTTCAGTTTGACATGTCAATAATTTTGAATTTAATTTTAATTTCAATTTACTTTTAAAATTCTTAAAAATATTATTTATAATTTTTTTAATAGATAGATTGTTTATTTTTTTCCTTGGCCAACAATAGTTTGCTTGCTTGACAAATTAGAGTAAATTGTTTGAAGTAACCAAATGATTTCTAGGGCAAGAATTTATTGCTGACAAGAATAATTGTAAATTGTACGCGGAAATATGATAAAAAGAAATAAATCCTGTAAAGATTTTAATGATCACCCAATTAAGTGATCAAATCAAATGAAAAAAAATTGTACTACTATAACAATAACAAACCTTATTTTATTATATGAATCAGTTACATATATTGTATGACATCATTATACTCTAAATAAAAAGTGAAAAATGAAAAAGAAGCCTGTATTTCAAATTTAATTTCATATACTTAGGTAATTGATTTGATGGAGTAAGATTGAATTAAACGTTTACAAATAATGTATATATTTGCTCATTTTGTTGAATCAATGCATTGATATCTGTCGCAGAGGAGAGTATGTGGCTGATACAAGATACATGAAATTTTACTTATGAAAAATATATAGTAACATGGTGGTAGAAAAGCCAAGGAGAATCTCGAAATTAGGATAAGCCTTATGAAACTTTCTTGATTGCATTATAAATGTAATTACCCTTTTAACCCATTGTTTGGATTCCGACAGGAAACTTGAATATTGAATTCAGGCATCTTCCCCCTTTTATATATATATATATATATATGTTCAATCAAATATTGTCCATATGTATTTCATAGTCCAACTGTAGTGTCACGGGATATATCCAAAGATGTCGTCATATGAAGAGTATTCCAATAATGCTTCGGGGTGGATAATACAAATAGTAAAATCCCAGCTATTGTGTGTGCTTTTTTTTTTTTGGGTAGGTATAAAGAGTAAAGTTCCCCTGATAACAAAAAAAAATCTCATGGGGTATTGGCAGTAAGAAGTAGACCTTTCTCAATTAAATTGTTACATATATATAAAGATTGGCATGTGATTGTACATACTATCGTAGTATTCTGCAGTGTTATAAGAAAACAGAAAAACAAATGGGAAAGATAAGATTCACTGGACTTGTAAGACTCACTCATGTATTGATTTCTTTTCTTGTAATATGGTGTTATACTAAAATTTAGGATCCTATAAAGATATTTGATTTTGTGACAACAACACAATGTTACAAGGATTCAAGGTTTTATTTCTTTGCTAACTGTATGTTTTATTTCTTTCCTTGTATCATGGTGTTGCCATAAAGATTCAGGGTTTTGGATCCAAATATATGAACTTCTCATATTGTCATAGAAGTGTATTGCAAAGTGGGAGAAAAATATATAAGTAAAGTATTTTCTCAAGCTTAAAAGACATTTTTCATAAGTTATTGTTGATTTAAAATATAAGACATCTTGTAATTTTAAGAAATGTCTTCTTTTTATTTTTGACCCCGTTTTGATTAATGTAAAAAACTTTAAGCGTTAGTTGTGAATAAGGCAACAGAATAAGTCACTATTTTAAAATGGTTTAATTTTTTTAATATACATTATACATGAACGTTGTAAATTAAAGGAGGTTAAATTTTGTGTGTGTGTGTGTGAGAGAGAGAGAGAGAGAGAGAGAGAGAGAGAGAGAGAGAGTTAAATTTCACATGTTAGATAGGTCCCATCTAATTTATGTACTTGCCACTCAAATTTGAATCTAATAAGTGGCTAAATCTTCTCAATTATTAAGTATCGTATCCCATGATATAATAATAACTATTTAATTTAATTGAATGATTATAAAAAATTTTATTATATAATATTTAAAAAATTTAAATTTTAAATTTTTGAAAAGAATAATATATATGAAGAGTGTTTTAATTGAGAAGATTATTTTAAATTTTTTAAGAGAAATATATCATTATAATTTTTAAATATTAATAAAATTCAATTATAATAATTAATATACTCATTGAGCAAGTAAATTTAGACCACTTAATATAGAACTCAATCATTTATCATATAATACTCAAAAATATTAAATTTTAAATTTTTAAAAAGAATAATATATATGAATAGTGTTTTTCTTATAAAAAAGAAGAAGAGTGTTTTAATTCAGAAGATTATTTTAAATTTTTTTTAAAAAATATATTATTATAATTTTTAAGTATCAATAAAATTTAATTACAATAATTTATATACTTATTGAGCAAGTAAATTTAGACAAGCATAGAACCGTTGCCTGTCCTTGTGACCTATGTTGTTAGAACAAAGATCTGTATTCCCTCATGTACCCTTTTATTCGAAGAATTGCCTTAAAAATGGAATGAATGTCAGAATGAGTTAGATCCTACCAGGGCCTTTGATATGGACATGGTCCCTTTGTACCACAACTTTTTGCTAGTGGCAATTGCACGACGAATCTAGCCAATCCAAGTCAACTTTGAATTCTAAAGAGTTCGGCGCGCACATTGACCTTAAGAATATCTTCTTAATTATTTATTATTTGAATTAATGATGATCAAATAAACCAGCCCCAAAATCTCCTTCTAAAGCAATTCCCTTTTATTTCACACAACTTTGCCTAACTCGATCAATTACACCAATTAATTTATTAAATGAACTATTACTTCATCTAACTTGACTAATTATTTTTATATTCATCAATTCATTATCAGTGTAGAATTAATATATATTTACAAATCTTATAGAATAAATGTGATTGGTTATAAATCTCTTCCTCCTTTGGCTAACATACTTTGGTAGAATGTTGATTATCTTCTCCCATTGGTCTATTAATTTTTGTACAATCAATTTAATTTTAATCTAATATTACTATTACTATTTTATTAGTTGATGTGATTGAATATTTTTTTAATTGGTTGACAAAATTTAATTTATTTTTTATTTATTTTAATTGATTTTTATCTTTTTATAGGATGGAGTATTAAATTATATTTTAAATTTGTCCTGAGTTATCTATCATAGGAGCATTAACTATGTTGTTTTTCATACTCTTAAGTCCTGCTAGAGAGTTTCTATTTCCAATACAGGAATGTTTTTGCATCTCTCAATCTCATATGCTTTAATCAATGATTGATCATCCATTTGATTAAATTAAAATAAGTATATCATTTGTGCAGTGTACAAGTTAAACTGTAATTTTAAACTTTAAAATTGAAAATATGTGTGAACAAATCTTCTTCTTCTTTTTTTTCCCTAACAAGGCTATTATTACTTAAATTGGAATTCTATAAATAATGTTATTTATATTATTTTTCACAATTTTTTCATCTCAAACACGTGCAACGCATAGACCTACATATCATACTGTTATGAGGTATTTGGACAATTTTATCCTTCTCCCCCCCCCCTCTCTTTTTTATTTTTGACATTTTTTGCATTTTCTCTTTCAAACTAAGAATTCAAATTTCGGTAAAAAAATTAAGAATTCAAATTAAATACATTGGCGGCATGTTATTCACTATATAAGGAAATAAATAAATTGATATATAAATTTATGATCTTTTATTAATATCATTTTACTACAAAAATATTATTTACTAATTTTTTAACTGCATTCAATTGATTTGAATTTTTGGACAATCCTGTGCATTTCTTCTAACAGAAAGTCAGAAACTGAAAACAAAGTGACTATAAAAGTCCAAACTAATGTGATCTTTTGTTTAATTACTCAAAGATTTATGTATTATTTACTATTATTTTACTATTTAAATGTCGTTCATTTTTTTTTTTCAACTTTGCCCTTTCATTTCAATTATAAAAAAAAAATTGAGATCAAAGAGTTTTAAAATGATCTTCTCTTGCGCGGACATTAAACATGATCCAATAGTTGACGTCTCTATTCAAATTGCACGCTTATTATTTTACCTGCACGGGCAACTCTATTTTATTATTTATAATGAATAGCGAATCCATTGATTTTCTAGAAAACCTATTAATATAGTATTTTGTGAGAATAATAAATATTAATAGCAAACCTATGATTATTGTCTCAAATTATAAAATACTTTCAAAGAAGACTCAGCATTTTAAAATATAAGACATTTGATAAAAATAAAATTTTATTAATGATATATTTTTAATATTACCTTTCATATATATTCTCTCTCTTCAATATTCTTTTATCAATAGAATATTAAATGAAAAATATTTTTGAATATTTATATTTTTATCTTGAAAAAATAATGTTGTAAAATATATTTAATGAGCTTTATTGATACATGAGATTTTTATTTAAAAATATCTTATAATTTAAAATGAAAGAAGTACTATTTTATACTATTTAATTCATAAAATAATGTTGATACCAACCAACAGCCATGCATGATTAGATGAAAGAGAAATTACTACCATTATTGTTCCTACTACTACTATTATTATTCCTATGACACACATATTTTAGCCAAACAATACCAATTGTCAGCATATCTTTCAATAAAAATTTAAATCTTGATTAATTACATTATGAGTGATTTGCTCACTCCACTAGATTTAACTGTACTAATAGTAATATTATTACTCTATCTATTCAAAAAAATGAGATATTTTTTTAGGTTGGGTGTTTAAGAACATACATTTTTCAATATGTAATTAATGTTTTTTTAAATATTCTAAATAAATAAATCATTCAACACAATGAGTTATTCTATTAAATAAAAATAAAAAGAAACATGAAAATATGATGTGTGTATAGTTTTCATTTCATATCTTGCAAAAGTATATTTAGAAGATTAAACTATTTGTTAAATGTAATAAAAGTATATT